CTCCTTGGTGCCTTCTCATCCAGGACACAACCAATGAGAATAGTTTACCTCTAAATCACAAACAGTCTACTTTACTTATAAACCTACTATCAACTTGAGCCAGAGTTGAATATGTCTCTAATATCATGTGACTAAGAGTTTCGGGGGCTGGAGAGATGGCTCACAGGTTAAGAGCACTGACTGCTCTTCCAGAGGTCCTGAGTTCAATTCCCAGCAACCGCATGGTGGCTCACAACCATCTGTAATGAGATCTGGCGCCCCCTTCTGGTATGTGCAGACATACATGGAGGCAGGATGTTGTATTCATAACAAATAATAAATAAATCTTAAAAAAATAAGGGTTTCATCTCCTGTTGAATGACTATAGAGTGAAATATTTCCCATGAATATTTAATAAACTGCAGGGATGACGGACACAGATTACTCATTTGTTAAACATTGCAATTAGCAAAGAATTTGAGTAGTGAACTTGCACTTCAAGATAAAGTTGAGGTTTGCCCACTATCATAACCAAGTTGGATATAGTGTACTCTTTGGGATGGAGATAAATGTCCAAATATTCACAAGACAAAGCAGGTAATGGCATTGGGTAGGTGTTCACAGATCTGCAGTGGTTATGTTTGTAACCAGAGCACAGAGTCTGACAATCCGTAGCATCCCTGACATTTTGGGAAAAGAGAATATTTGGTTAAGGGAGGAGCTCATGCATTTGAGAATGTTTTCGTGCATTTGAGGATGTTTTTCTGAGACCCTGGTTTGTGCTCACTGCATTCCAGTACCACTCTTCTTCCAAGGTTTCCAGACTTGGCCCAACGTGGAAGAGAGGCAAACCTTCTGAGAGCACAGGAGAGCCCCTTTCCTTACACAGATGCATGCTTGCCTTTGAGATGCTTTACTAGCTTGCTCGTGGAATTGACTTTTCCAAGATCCTGATCTTGTTCCCAAGAACATTGTTCTGTAGGTGACTTCCCAAACGTTAAGTAGCCAGCCTTACAAGTGCACCCTCAGCCTCCTTGCAATCTCTCCCCCATGTGACCTTGCTGCTAGAAAGAGATGGGAGGCCCTGTTTAACTGTGTAGTCTTATAATTCTCAGAGTTCTTACAATGAGCTAACTCCCCCCACTTCTCCTGGAATCAGAGTTCATCTACCTGCAGGCATGCTGCATGGCATATTTACTAAGCTTGATACCTGGGCTATGTGAACTCCCTCCTCTCCTAGAAATCTTTGAAAATGGACACAGGGTACTAGGTCTGTCAGACTGGGAGTGTCTCTTCTCAACTCTGTCATGCAGTTCCCATGTATAACTCTCCTTATACATTTCTTACCATGCAAGAAGACTAATTCCTTTCCCTCCCTGTCTCCTTCTCTCCCTCCCATTGTCTGTCTGTCTGTCTGTCTGTCTAATCTGTCTATCTTAAGGCACTCCTGTCAGGTTTATAAAATGGAGCCTCGCTTTGCATAAAGTCTTGCTTACCGTGTTTTAAATATAGTTTCTTCCTAATCCTCTCCTACCTCAAGACTCCATCATAGTCTGAAGACCTTTTCTGCTAATAAACATTGATCCTCTAGATTATTTATGTGACAGATTCTTATCTGAGTAGACTGCTTACACTAGACTCATGTTTAACAGGTGTTGGCATTTCCTCCCAGTTCTTTCCTGAAAGAATATATGGATATAGATATGTATATACCTGCAAACTTACAAAGAACAGTTTTTCTCAGATTACCTCTAGCACCTTCACATTTTAATATTCATCCACCTGAAAATTATAAAGTTTTTTTCTATGGTTCTGGTCCTGCAACTGCACGGACTCCCTGCATCCTTTCTTTTATGAATTTCTAGAAAGCATTGAAGTAACACAATGTTCCTTTTGAAGGACTAATTAATATCTATTCTCCATCAATGTTTCGTCTCAATTTAAAGTATGAAAAATTTGCAGGCAAGCTGCTATTTGCTTCCTGCAATAAAACTGAGCATGCAATTCACCAAAGAAGTAAATTGACCAGAAATATGTAAAGATTATATTTCACTATCAAATAAATGAATACAAATTTCAAAGAATACTATTTCCTACTATTAAATTAGCATAGGAAAAGTTGACAAAGATTTGACAAAACTGGCAACCACCCACATTGCCTCCTAGGGTTGACCTTGTGGGAAGAAGTTTGTTCACCTTAGTCAAGTGTAATTAAAGAGATCTGCTTATTTAGACCCTTGAGGGGCAGCCAGCAATATGTAGGATACAGTTATATGGTGTGTCTAGCTCTTCCATGCAAGCTGTTCTTCCTTCACCCTGATTGGTCTCTCCTGGTCTCCCAACTTCTTTTCAGCCATTTACACTTATTATCTCCTGGAACTCAAATGAAATGCCATGTAGGTGGAGGTCTGCCAGAATTCATGACCTCAAAATGTTTCTTTGTGATGTGGACTAATTTGAGTTACCGAGAACAAGTGAAGGCAAGAAAAACCTTACAAGTGGTGCAGATTTTCTGCTTGGAAAGGAAATTCTTCATGTAAAAACACCTAACTGTGTGCTCTACCAGGACAATGCTACTCAAAAATTCTTCCTAAAAAGGAAGACACTAAAATCTGCAAAACAAACCTAAGAGTAACCCCATATTGTTCCTGCTCATATTTCCATAATCTGCCTTTTCCACCTTGAAATCCCAAAGCCCCCTTTTCCCTTAGCATGAAATGCCATTTAAGCCTAAATTCAAAATATCCCTTTGTATTATTGACTCCAGCATATTCCATGTGTTAGATTTATGATGAATTTATACCTTAAACTCTTTTCTCTTGTTCATCTGTCTCCCATTGGGAACCTATCAGTAAGAGCCTAGCATGGAAACAGACATTTTTCAACTCATGTCTTTTTCCTGTACAACAATGATGGTGATACAAGAAGATGCCATCTGCACTTCCCCTGAAGCCCAGAGGAAATGATACAGTAGAGACTATTGCTACCCTGTGCCAACACCAAAATTTTCTGAGTCCAGGAGGCTACAGAGGAGAGGGGGAAAGTCAGGGAAGGGATAGAGACCCTAAAGTCATATGTGCTGAAGGTCTTTCGAATTCTGGGAAACCTATAGGTAACTCATTTCTTCACTGTAATTTGAATCATAATATTCAAGTCAGGAGAAGTAAAGGAAGACAAAGAATGAAATTTTCCTTTTAATATCACCATCAATAATAGAGAAGAAACTGCGTGCTTCTTACAATGGCTGGACAAGGAAACTATAATGAGGTCACTTTGTTGAAAACTATGCAGTTACCTCAAATGAGTGTGTGGTAATCATATAGAAAATAGACCTGACTGCTTTCCACACATCTAGCCTATGGGCTGTAGAAACCATAGCCTATAGCCTCTCTCTAGGTATGCTTTGATCCACATGGTGACCTCACACTAGAGGAACTGAACAAATACAAGCTTAGTCTTCCGTCATTCTGTTCTACTTTCCCACAATGACTCTTCCCCCATAGAGTACCTGGAATCAAACTAGAACTCCAGGAACTTGAAAGGCCTTTCAGGTTTGTTCTCACCATACCTGAACACAGCTCCTTGGCTTCCCTTCCCAAAGCATTTTCTGAAAAGGACTTATGATTATAAATGTGGATCTCCTAAACTCAAAGGGAGTTTTCATGAGGACCTAGAGGTCATTCTCTTAAATGCAATCATCACCAAAGGTGGAGGCTCTGTCTCCCAGCACTAAGGAAGGTACATTTCTGACCCCAATAACGGCTAGCCAGCAGATACAGCTGCCTGATGTAATTTACACTGTTCAACCCTTTGTTCTTAATTTGCTGCCTCTGATTAAGGCCTTGCTCAGCTCTGTTCAGTACTCTCCTCCTCCCTTTACCAGACCTGGTCACTGCTGAACCTATTGAAGTTAAGTACAGCTCATGCTGGACCCCCTTTCCTATTCTATGTTAAGTTACTGATTACAGTCTAGCCCTGCTGCTTCCGCAGGTGTCTGGCTTTGTTTATTACTCCCAAGGCCAGTTGCTAAGGAACTGAAATCCTCATCATGGTGGCTGTTGAAGGTGCTGGGATTATACTCATTAGGAATCATTAGCAAAGGCATTCTCTCTGTTTCTGAGCAGAACAATCCTGCACATTGCCATGAATAAAAGTTTAGGGAAACTTTGCTGCGAAGCAATTCAGATTTATGAATTTCACATTAAATCAGCTAAGTACATCTGTTACACTCATCATAATGGCAACTTTTGGGTAATGATTTCTTAGAATCACAAATGATGTGCAAATTCTCAGCGATTTAAGCATTTGGAAGGGCATGCATGTGGCCCGGGTGATTGCCTATTATCCTCAAACACCAGGATTACACCATAGCCTTTGTTCTATTATTTCATCCCAAGGAATTTAGAAGCAGAATCTCATGTGGGAGCAAAGAATTAACCCTACAAGGCATGTCTCAGCATGTGTTAGATAGCATCCCATTGTGTTTAATTCACTATTTTACAGTGTATCTCAGCAATGACTAAAAGTACTTCTCATACAATGAAGCAGACAGTGTGTGTGTTTGGCTTCCAGATTTAAGACCCACATAAAGCATCAGCCCTGCTATTAGAAGAAGTGACTCTGTGGCCACATTTCTCATTTAATCCTAACTCTTTTAACTCATGTCCTTTTTAACTGACTTGGATGTGAGTCAGCCTTCAGAAACATGACATTGTATCCCTGCCATATTTTCAACACAAAGTAAAGACCCAAAGTGGTTAATAGAACAACCAAAATTTGAATCATTGTCAGAGATTGCTTATTATGAAGGATTTGGATCATCTTTCTCATTTCGGATTTACACACACACACACACACACACACACACACACACACACACATTCGTAAAACTGCAAGACGATTTAAGCAAGCATCACTACAGTACTGAACAGCTCTGCAGTTCTGATCACAGGTCCCGTCCTCCCTCTGTACCTAAAATTCTGAGATGGGGCAACAAAGGAATGTAGGGGTGTAAAGCTTACACTTTGTAGCTGTACATGACTCTTCATCAAGCTCTCAGACTTTGTCATGGTGTTGGGTGACTTGAGGCTGTAGTTCTTTCCATTCTGTGACTCCTTCAGCTGCTCCTGGATTTGTTTAGCTTGTTTCCTGCAGATATGAATATGTGGGTAAATATTTGCATAGATATAGTTGGCTGATATGTGAAGTTTTGTTTTTGCCATATCCATATTTGTCCCATGTTAAAGCTAGATAGGTAACCTGAGCCACAGCGGCAGCTCTTAACCCTTTCAACCACCCAAAATAATACCTCTGACTATGGATAATTTGGCATTACTCCTTATCATAGATGGGATAATAAATCATTGACACTCTTAAAAAAACACATTGTTATAATGTGTTCTTATAGCCTTAACTCCCCTGGCTACAAGCAGTCCCTAACATGAAATTACAGATTCTCCAGAGAAATACATAAACTAAAAATTTGGAGCTAGGGCTTAACTAACATTTTGGCAAAGGCATACTAATATTTATACACTTCAAATATATGTAGCTTTTAATCTGCTGGGAGAGCTTATTTTATGTTACCAGGAAAGCAAATAACAAAATGGTTGACTTTTTTTTTTTGGATGGTGCTGAATCTAGAATTCCACATAGGCTAGGTAAAACCTCTCCCCTGAGCTGTATTCTCTAACAGAGTTAACCTTTAATGAGCTAATGATTACCCAGTAATTAGCAATTCATTGTTTTAAAGTGCATTACTCTCATTGTTTTTATTTATTTCTGCAATAAACCTTTGTAATCAGGTAGTGTTCTACCCCCATTTAATAGATCAGAATGCCAAGACATGAAGAAATGAAGTCATTTGCTTACGGATGTTCAGAGTTGAAGGATTTCAAACTACTCAATTTTGCTGCAAACTCTGCTCAGAACCCCTAGTCAGAACTGTCAAGCCACTTGTATAAGGTCCTTCTGCTTCCTTTAAATGGGCAAGTAGAGATTGTTCCAGGACTTTGAGCTCCCAAGAAAAGTGCCCTTGCCTGAATACGTTGATATTGTTTATACCATTCAGCATCTATAGCAGAACATCGATCAAACTACTGTCTGCATAGTTTTTTCCCCAGAGTTTCACAGCAATTATATATCATTTCAAGGCTCATAAACAAACTTTTCTAAAGTTTCGTTCTCCAGTTCTCAGCCAAGGAGACATCCCCTTATAAATGGCCTCTGATATAGCAAGCTTCCCAGGCAGGCAGAGTTCAGACAGGCTCCCCTATCACAGAGACTGACACATAAGATCTCAGTCTGCCATTCATCAGTTTCACTACTCTCATAATTACTTAAACTTCCTTGAGCCTGTTTCCTTACATAAAATTCATAAGTGCTATCTCCCATGGATACCATGACAGCTACAGGCAAAGTGTTCCTTCCCTTTTTGTTACCCAGCATGCTCAGCATTATGGAAAGATGCTGCAGAATTGAGGACATTGCCCCAAAGATAAAAGATTGTACTAATTGCCTCTCTCACACAACACTTTCTAAAGGATTTGAAGGTAATGAGCATCTTTGAATTTAAACCCCAGTGTGAAGTAGCTGTCTGTTTAAACATTTCTTTAATCTTTTCAATTATTTGGGGGGACTTTTAGGTCTAACCCTCTCAATTGCTTTAATCCAGTTAAAGTGTTCTATCTACTTCTTAAGAACAAATCTATAGCCTGTTGATAAAAATAAATTTGTCTCACTGCACAGCAGCCACAAAAACAAGAATTCATTTGAGAAGAAACAGGAAATTGTGGGGGAGGGGTGCCAGACAAGTAAATCAGTAGGAAGCAGTAAGAGGCTTAGCACAAAGTAAACATCTATGGCATAAGATAGAAACACTGTCTTTTCTGTAATCTCATAATTCAGAAACTGGAAAATACAAACTTTTAAAGAAATATTTTTCATAAAAATGCCTGAATGTGTTTCATGAATCCGTTCATAATTCACCTTCTACAAGTCCTGACTCACCAATATTTCAGGATAAATGACCTTTCAGTTGGAATCTGCCTATGACTCTTTCCCATCCCATTCTGTCCTGGTCCTCTCACAAGTACAAAGAGTTTGCATGTTTGCTTCCCCTTCTTGCCTTAGCAAACAGAAAAGAGGAAATGATTAACATCTGACTGTTTTGCTCTCCTCCCTTGCACCCTGGGAAGCTAGTGGCTCAACAAGTTCAGGACCAAACTTACCAGACTACAGAGCTTTACATATCTCTGGCACATCATCTTAGAAAGGGGATGAGTGTAGTGGAACTACAGATGTCAACGCCAAGCCAGCTGAGTTTCTGAGGAAGCAGACCTTGGCACAGGAATAGCATTCAGGAATTTTATGGAATGTTTGTGGTGTCACCACTTGGAAAGTGAACAAATGGAGATTGTGGAATGGGACAAACTGGAATGGAGAGCAGTAAGGATGTAGGGTGCAGTAAGGATGTAGAACTTTGCTCCCATCTTCAGATCCTTACATTGATCTACTGTTGCAGGAGGGCTATCTCAGTGCAGGCTGTTATAGAGCATCTTCCTGTATTGTGTACTAGAAACATGAGGACAAAGGCCTCCACTGCTGAAGAATATAACCACAGTACATCAGAACATCCATGTAAGCCCAGAATCCTTTACTCAGACCACAACACATGGGAAGAATCAGGCTGCCACATTGTGTGTACATTTTACTAGCAATTCAAATTCCCAGGTTCTCCTCTCTTTTCCCAATTTTGATAACTCATCTTTACCTATAAAAATTTCCTCTCCTCTCTACGATTCTAAATTTAGGGTTGAGCCATGTGTTTAATACCTAAAGACTAGTGCAGCAAACTTCATCCTTTTTTTCCCATGTAAGTTGAAAGTAAAGAGAAACTCCTTTTTAAGAATTCAGTTTCCAACTAAACAGGTGAGCAAGGGTAAAGGCTGAAATTAATCCTCCTAGTAACTGTGAATGAGAACACATGGGCTTATTGGGACTGATGAGAATTCCTTTAAGCCTGTCTTTTGGCATTGCTGGAAGATTCAGTTATGTCCCCCAGAATTTTCTCTGAGTGGAAGATATCTTCATTTCTGATACCGTTCATTGCCCATCCCAATTTTTGTTTTGGCCTCAATTCTACTTGTGGCCAAAGTCTGTTGGAACATCCTCCATGAGTAAAGCTATGTAAAGAGAATTTTGATAGCTGTGATAAAACCCCAAGAAAACAAGGCAAAAGTTTTGTGACAGTAGTTTCTCCATAACATGGATCATTCTTGGAACATACTTTTGTGTCCCTCCTTGGTATATTAAATAAGACTGTGTATACTTCAGAGTGCCCATCAGCAATTATTATTATCCAAGTACTGGTTGTCCTCATGACTTTATATGCAGCCTGCACTTGTGACCTTTGCTTATTTGACCTTGCTTATTCCTCAGAATAACCTCAAAATATAAATTGTGTGATGCCAAGAGTAAAGTTGGCTATTTCATGAGACCTTAGTCCACTTCAGTAGACTCTATTCTTCCAGGTAGATGACAACAACTAGAATAGTAACAGTTACTGAGACAGCATTTGATGAGGCCGCACAGTGCCAAGTATGGCAAGAACAGAGAGAAAAGATCAGAGTGGTTATAGGAAATAGAACATAAATTGCTGTAAGCATGGAGCTTTTGGCTAAGTATCAGCTCTCTCTACCCAGAAGGATATATATATCCTTCAAATACATGACTCAGTGAACTCATTTGGAGAGCAATGAAAAGTGCCTTAGGATCCTGTTAGAACTGGGCCCTCCAAAGTAGGAAAATATATTATACCCTACATATACATATTATATATTACATATCTGTATTTTATGTTTGAAAATAAGATCACATACCTTATTTTATGTATAATATTGGGGAAAAGGAAAGAGGAATCTATGAATCTATAAGAGAAACATGGGGGTGTCATATAGTGGATATTCAGTTTTTGTAGGCGGGAGATAGCACTTGACGTAGAATATACCTCTCAGACATGGGAAGATTTCTGATGAGAAATATGATTCCAGTGGGAAAAGCCTTTTGTCTTCATTAATGTTATTTTTATATAAACTCATTTACTTTATCCTTTCTGCTATTTCCTACCATACTTTTATATTATTTAATATTCATATATTCCTGTATTGTGTTTTGAGCAAATCCATTCCCATACTCACCTACAATTCTTGTACCCTCTTCCTGCTACATTTCCCTTCCAACTTCATGTGTTCTACTCTTTAACCCACCAAGTCAACTGAGTGTTCCTCTTTGTGCATGGGTGTTGGACCATCTATCGGAGCATAGTAGCCTCTCAGGATTTGAATTCTTGAAGAAAACAGACACTTCTCAACAGCCATGAGTTGCCAAGAACTTCTCAGCTAAGACATGTAGAAGGAGAGCATTCCGGTGTGTACTTCTCCATCACCTTAGTCCCCTTAAGAAATCCAGTATTTAACCATGTTTCCATTGAACACTCTGACTCCTCATTGTGCTCCAGCAACAGATGTTGGTCTCAAAGCTCCCTTGCTGTCTAGGGAGAAGGACTGACGGCCCTTATGTCACACTTCCTGTTCTTGTTGTTTTCATTGTTAGAATGACTATAATTTTTTGGTTATATTTGTTACAACTGCAAATTGTACTCTACAAATAAGTGACTAATTTTGTCTTCATAGCAATTTGCTTATTGCTCTGTAAATATAATATTACTACCCAATTTCTTTCTTGTACACAGCTGTTAAAACAGACACTCCTGATGTCAAGCTGGGTAGGTCTACCCTTTGTGGGCTCAAGTGTTGCTCTTAATTTGGTATCTATTCATCTTCTAAGTTCTGGAGTGGAAAGCCATGAATATTAACAACTCAAGCCACCCTGAAGTGTTTCTGATTTGAATACCCCTTTCAATATCACCTCATTTAGCTGTTACCCTAGTTCTATAAGGTAATTTTTTAATTCAAATTTTGCCAAAAAAGAAAGCAAAAAGGAAATATTCTTAGTGACGTGATCAGCGGAAACTTGGAAATCCCATTGCACCTGTGGGTAGCATAATATCCTAACCAATATCCTCATATGGCCTCACCGGGGCTTCACAAGAGCAGGGAATTTCCCAGCTACCAGCAGCTTTGCCATTCAGCTAAAAGATCAGCACAGCCAATTTAATACTATACTTATAGAATAGACTGGGAGTCACAGAACCATATTTGTAACTTTTTACTGTGTTCCTTTCCCAATTAAACATTTTAAAATAAATTCCCATATTGTCTAGGATAAGTTCTCTAAGGACCTCTGTGTTGGCTTATTCCCCAGCTTGGCATTCAGATAGACTAGTGAAGACCTTAAAAGGTACACCCATTGAAAGGTCTTCTGGTTACTGGAGGTATTCCCTTGAAGGGGAGAGGGAGACACTACTCCTTCCTTTGTTGCTTCAAATTTTGCCAAGAGGCAGAAGACCCTCTTCTGGTCACACTGCAGCCATGTCCTGCCACACCCTGTCACTAAAATAAGAGGGCCAATCAATCCTGGATTGAAATGAACAAAACTAAACCCAAATAAGGCTTTGCAAGTTCAACATTTCACCTCTTTGTTAGGGCAATAGAAATTGACTAATACATTACTTAATAAATGCATTAAAAACACAATTTGGAAAGTTGCAATGGCAGAGACTTAATCACTAAAAGCCCAGTGTGCCTGGCACATGTTTGGAAATCACAGACAATAGTTACAGAGATGTGGCAGAAAATGTCATGTGGCATGCTGCATAAGGGTCTGAGTAAGAGAAAAGACATTATGTCAAAAACTAAGGAAGGTGAAATATGGACTTTAGTTTATACAGTACAATTATTAGACATTATTGTGACAAGAATACCATGCTAATACAAGACTGTAATAATAGGGGCACTAGTTATAGAGTGCATGGGAATTCTCTGTACTGTTATTATAGTAGTTCTGAAATTATAAAAGCATTTGAGAAAAGTCTGTTGAAATAATAGTCACTAATCCTGTAGTCATGCCTCAATATTTTTTATTTAAAGGCATAATTGTAGCGCTCTTTAAAAATTGACATATATGACTTACAGATAGGGTTATGACTGTATCTGGCAAGTGGTCCATTTTTGGAAGAGAAAATAGACAGAAAACAATAATACAAATAAAAGCAATTGCATATTGGCTGTGATTTCACACAGGCCACAGGCATGTCACAAGAGCCAATGTCTTAAGGCTGAAGAACCCAATAGACTAACACTTTGATCTGCAACTCCTATTTTAAGTACAGATGACATCATTTTATAAACAATTTCATCCACGTCCACTTATAAAAAAATCAGAGTTATGAGCACATTACTATGCATATATTTGTAATTCTACTTTATGAATCATTATAAGTTCCTTCATCTGTGGATAGTTTCTTGTAAAATGAGAGTCACAGAATATTCAAGTTCTATGTGCCAGTGTACATTTTTTGGTGTTTTTTTCATTAAATATGACTTACATTTTATGAGTACATGGTATAAACTGTTTGAAAGTAAACTGATATTTTGTGTACATTTTTTTTCTTGGAAAATAATTTTCCTATCCATAATGGTTGATAGCATTTAGGCTCACAGCAGTGGTTCCCCCACCCCCACCCTATTCCCTACTGAGAAGAATTTGTCCTTTAGTGGAAGCTGTTGAGTCCTTGTTAATGAAGATAGGTGGCCAAGTTCTGCAAACAATCACTGTGTATCTGAAACCTCCTCCAAAGTGAATCGGAGAACCCCACCCTCACCAATATGGCTGCCTACATTCACTGTGGCCCTTGGAATGCTCTAATTCAATGCAGATCATTGGTGAACCAATGTGCAAAAGGTCTCTCTGCTTGGAGTTAAAATCAAGACTATAAAGGGAAAGAGTTTTCTTTCAGATGTAACCTTTAATCACCAGAGAAATTGTCTTACTTGCTTTTGAAGTAGAATGCTGCACAGAACATGCCCACGATGACAATTCCAAAGATGATACATGAAATTGACAGCACCTGCCTTTGATAAACGTCTTCACTCTCTGTGAATTTGAAAAACAGAATTAGAATGGATGCTAGTTGGGCACAGAGGCAGCAATCTCCATCATTGTACTTCTGAGCTGGTAGGAAACTTCAAAACCAACTTTTTTTTCCTGTTATGATTAGGAGAAAAATATGCGAAACTTATTATGAATCAGTTTCTTTGTAGAAGTCTACACTGTAACTGGCTATTACGTTAAAATTTTCCCTTTTGGTATTTACCCAGCCATGTAAGTACTCATGCTCATACATATAACAGTTTGATAAATATTGTAAGTGAATTTTATTATTTCTGAATATTTAGAAGCATGTTTTGGAAACTGTAGTGGGTCCTAGTTAATGAATTAGAAGGTGAGAGTCTCTACACTTTCCAGTGCCAGCAAAAACTGACTTTTTATTCTGTGGTAATTAGATCTCTGTGTTGTCTTATTTTGTTTAGTTCTTGGTAATTCATTATCCATGTTTCTACTACTCTGATATTGATATCACTTTATGAAAGAGATTTTCAGTATTTATAAAAATATCATGTTCACCATGTTCATAGCTATTTCAGTTCCATGTTCTAGAATAGTAAACCAGTGTGGTGTCTTGTCTCTTGCAATCATAAAACATGCCAATTCAAACACTTCATTTTCAGTCATTACAATTTACACTCAACCCCTTTTCTAAAATATGCTTAGTAAAACAATTATGCCATCTTATTAAGAGCTTTGGCTTCATAGATTCTAGAACTTTCTCTGCAAATCACCATCCTTTTGTTTTCACTTTTCTCTTTAAACACATAAATAACCATAGTCCATGATCACAATCATTCACTCGAATGTTAATACTCTCTTCAACTATGTCCATGTACTTTCCCATGAATCCTACACTTACATTCAAGAAACTGGTATCTTCACAATACCTCCTTGAGTGCCTCATAACACACAAAGATGACTGTGCTACTGCACAGGCATTTTGTAAGAGATGAAGGCTGAAAATCAGTTTTCTTAGGTGAGCATCAAATCCCTGACAATGTCATCAACTCTCTGGATCACATATCCATGTTCATCCATCTACATCAACTGTACTCAAACATCTGATGCATTGAAATATCCCTTATTCTCAAATATTTCTCAGGTTCTAAGGAGAATGAAGACTGTGTAGAGAAACTACTCCAACCTTCTAAAATAACACACATAACATTAGCACATCCATTCTTGTTCAATCTCTCCCTCCCTCTATTTCTTTCTAACCTCTGTTTCTCACTCCCTCTTCATTAATGTAACTAGTGGTTCCTCAAACTTCAGTGTGCTTTTCAGTCACCTTGAAATCTAGGAGAGTTTAGGTACCCTCACTTGCTCCTGGCGCTTTACTGAATAGTATACCTCAATGTGTACAGAACTTTTGTCTTTTGAAAAGTCCTAGGTGACTGTGATGGAAAAACTTTATGAAGCACGGAGTGGAGGCATGCCTGACACGTGAATCACCTACTTCATAACACCTGGGGAGATTTGTTTCCTTGTGAGAGATCCTTATAGTATCCATGTTGGACCATCTAATAGACAAAGAGAATTTAAATGAATTTTATTTCATTTATAAAATACATATTATAGTTAGGGAATTGTTCAGCTTGAAGAAATACTCTTCTTTTATCAAGGAATAGTTCCTTGCCTTATACTTTCCCACTGTCCTTTGAGTCCTCTCATCATTGAACTTTAAAGGAATTACTCTACAAGGCCAGAATACCTCAGTGCAAATCTCAGACAAGAACTCAAAACAGCTCTCATTGTCACACACTTGACATTCTCTTAATAAAAAGTACATTGCAAATAGGTAAATTTGTCATGGGAAATGCAAGTGTGTGTAGATAGAATCTAAGGGTCTCTATGACTTGCCTACTTTAGCAAGTTAAGAAAAAATATTCAATGAATAGACTATTAAGAAAATAACTAAACAAAATAGCTTAGGAAAGCCTACAAACCCTTAATGAAATCTCTCTAAAGCTGGACATAATAGTAGGGATTGCTCACCGTGACAAAGAACAGCTTTATTGAATGAACACACATAAAGATAAATACATATCATCATGAAAATACTTTGACCTTAAGCAAACAATAATGTCTACTTGCACCACTTCTACTTGTCACTGTCTTATAATAAGTGTACTAAGGGAAAACTAGAAATAAACCCATTCCATGTGAGGCAGTGGATGAAAACCTATCTTTTTAGACATTGTGGTCCCCGGTATAGGGAAGCTGTTGGGCCGTTGGAATCTACCAAGGACCAGGGGGAGTGAACTTAGCATGTTTATAGTACACAGTGGTGGAAGAGGAAAATAAAAACAGTGCTTGTGCATGCACTTAATAGAAATAAAATATCCACATTTGAAAGAAAGTCATTGTAACTTCACAACACCTAAAATTCAAAGTAAAGTTTCACAAAACATATGTAAGTCCTGTTTGTTGAAAATTTTTAAATCAGATTGAGAGAATTGAAAGAATAGCTATACAGATGTATATACACAGGTGTATGGTTTCTTTAGTTTTATTTTTAAATTTAAATTTAAATTAGAAACAAGGTTGCTTCACATGTCATTCCCAGGTCCCTCTTCCTTTCCCTCCCCGCCTCCCACGCCTTCCCATCAACCCCCCCCAATATCCCCTCATTTCCCCAGGGCAGGGCCTGGACCCTCCCCCCAAGAGTCCAGGGTGAGAGTGCATCTCTCATTAAGATAAGAAGACATACACTTCTGGGCAGTGGTAGTGCACATCTTCAATCCCAGCACTAGAGAGGCACAGCAGCCTGTGAGTTAGAAGCCAGCCTAGTCTACAGAGCAAGTTCCAGGACAGGCTGCAAAGCTACACAGAGAAACCCCCCTGCCTCTAAAAAATCAAAAAGAAGAGGAGGAGGAGGAGGAGAAGGGGGAGGGGGATGGGGGGAGGAGACAACGATGATGAGGACAATGATGCACACTTAGACCAGGCATCTTCCCTGGTGGCAGAGTACAAGGTAATGCAAGCTTCTGAGTTTGGCAGCACACACCTATAACACACCTCTATTGCCAGCACAGTTAAAGACGATTTGAGGCTAGCCTGAGCTGCACAATGAGATATTTACTCAAAACTAATCTCTTTGGAGACATTTTGTTATTGTTATAGCAATAGTGGCTGAATAGCTGATTTTAAATATTTGCTGGAAATAAAAAAGATTAAGAGTGAATACAACATTGTTTCTGAAGTTAAGAAAGGGAAGTTAGAGAATTTTACCATAAAACTACAGCAACACAAGAAATGTCTAATTCTAAAGAAAAAAGGAAACATATGAGAGCCTAGAAGTATGTATCTAATCTTTATAAAAGTTTGAAAATGTTTTCATAATGAAAACATGAAAATGAAATTGTGAGTATAGCAGAGCCATGTTCTAGAAAGTGACCACTGAGCAGTTTCAAATTTTCACAGAAAAAAAACTTTTAAAAAATGAAAAAATAGAAGTATGAAAATTTTAAATAAAGATATAAATACAAAAATTTCAAATTATGAATGTAAATAAAAACATTTGAGACAAAAAACACAATATGTGGGTTTGGAAAATTTAAAGCATAAAAGATACAAACTTCAAAAATGTTTACCAATCAGTAATATAGAGTCTGCCACAATATAATGTTTGTTCTTCAAAAATGCCATAATGAAATGAATAGGAGAAGCACAGTCTTGGAAAACAATAGGAATGTCAACACTCAATATGAGACCGGAACATAAAATATAAGCCACTCTCGTGACTTAAAATAAATGCCCAAAGGTTGAGATACCAATTTTGACTATATTCTATTCTGGTAATAAATTCTCCAAAGAACTTGGAATAAGTCTTCACAGAACATAAGACAATTTAAAATAAGCTATGATGAGTTAGATGAGGTTCCTGATAAAATAACTAAAAGTCAGTTCTTACTCTTATCATACAAGGATTTGGAAGAGCTTTCTAGAGTATTCATATATTTTAATAGATATGAAATACAACTTTAAAAACAGCTCCACAAACTTAAGAATACAAGGACTTTGATATGGAGACATTCCATTCCTACGCATTTAATCAGCTTTAGTGAAAAAGTGATTTTATTTTGTATGAAAGTCTACAAAAGATTTCTATTTATAATCCTCAATATAAATTGTCCAAACACTCATAAATAGGTCAGTGGGCAGATTGTGGTTATCCATACAATGGAACATTACTCAGCAACAAGGAGGAATTAATCAGTGACGTAATCAATAAAGTACATGAGTTTGAATTTACTCAGAGTCAGATGTCATGCACAGATCCATGCTATCTATATCAAGCCACACACAAAATTGTAGTAACTGAAAGTTGGTGGCAGACAAATGGGATGGATATCGTGTGACTGGGGAAATAAAGGGAAAAGACTACAGAGCAATATTGGGAATTCTTTTAAGTTATAGACACATTCATTATTTTAATTTCAGTGTTCATATCATTGGTTGATAAAAATCCCATTCTGTACCATATTAAACATTTTAGACAAGGTTCATTTCATCTCAGTTATAGCTGTAAAAAATTAATTCTGGGGTGATAAATTAAAATAATATGTTGAGACTATAAAGAGTTTTCAGAGTATAAAATGAAATCCAGAGTCCTTTGAGTTCCTTTTATAATTGTGTTCCCATAAATCCTTCTCCACATAGTAAGCAATATGAATTTATATTATATAAGCTAAGCCATACATACACCTGTACATTATGTTTATATACACACATGCCCATTACTATACATATATCACTATTAAGCATGTTAATGGTTCCCATGTTAGACTAGCATTAATATCACAAGTCTTGTATGTGAAAAGTGATTGATATGACATCTACTTTTTCTAGAATTTCTGGTATTTCACTCTGCAGAGTCTCGATGCCTGCTTTTCCCTATGTCTGCCTCCGTCCTTCCCTCTCTCTTTCTCTTTTTCTCTGTAGTATATTCTTCTGTCTTTTAGTGGCCTCTTTTCTGTTATCCT